TCCCTCTGCACCACACGACTTTTGTGTACTCGTTATCTCCACCTTCTTCTTCTTCTTCTTCTTCTTCTTCTTCTTATTTATTTATTTATTTTTAATTTCCCGACCACAAGTTATTTTTTCTTTTCCCATGCGGGTACGAATCCTAATTTCGTCTTTTTCCGGGGTAAAAATATAATTTTGTTTCAATTTTTAATTTTTATGTTTAGACCATTAAAATTAATTTTCTTCTTCTTCTCGTCCCTTAATTTATAAAAATTAAAAAATGAAAACTCCAACACCTTTCTTTTTATTATCTCTCCACAAAGCAAATGGCCTGAAAGAGTTTCTCTACTACCAGTGGAGGTTGAACTGAGCGGAGCATCTGGGAAACTCTCAGACTACCTTCTTCCCATCAGTTTTCTCTTCTTAGATATATTTTCCCTTTCTTTCTTTCACTTTCCCACCAAATTTTCTCTCAAACCATTCATGGGTTTAGCAACAAACCTCCACCGTCTAGACCTACGCTCTTCCTTCTTCACTACTCTCCATCCATGTCTCATCTCGACAACCACAAAATCCCATCAATTTTCCTCTCTATCTAATCGCAAAAGAGAAATACCTAGAATTACCGCTCAATTGTCTACCATCAGTCTCGAAACAGCGGTTAAAGACCCTGAAACCGATATCGAATCGCTCTTCTCGAGCAGTCCCGCCGAGGAATACGACCGAAAACGCACCGGTAAGCAATCGACAACCGGTGCTTCCGGTGTTTCCTCGGGTGTGAAGCTTGAAAACATAAGCAAAAGCTATAAAGGAGTGACTGTGTTGAACGACGTGAGCTGGGAAGTGAAGAAAGGAGATAAAGTTGGGTTGGTGGGTGTTAATGGAGCAGGTAAAACAACCCAGTTGAGGATAATTACAGGCCAAGAAGAACCCGATTCGGGTAACGTGATCAAGGCCAAACCCAACATGAAAATTGCGTTTTTGAGCCAAGAATTTGAGGTTTCGATGAGTAGGACGGTGAAGGAGGAGTTTATGAGTGCGTTTCAGGAGGAGATGGAGATTGCTGGACGGTTGGAGAGAGTGCAAAAGGCCATAGAAGGTTCCGTGGAGGATTTGGAGCTAATGGGTAGGTTGTTGGATGAGTTTGATTTGCTGCAAAGAAGAGCACAGGCTGTGGATTTAGACGCGTTAGATTCTAAGATTAGTAGGATTATGCCGGATTTGGGGTTCACATTGGAGGACTCCGATAGGCTCGTGGCATCTTTTAGCAGCGGGTGGCAAATGAGGATGTCCCTTGGAAAGATTTTACTTCAGGTATAATTGTGGGTCTCGGATATTTTTTCTCTATGTTGTTTGAAACAATATTGACGTTCTTTCTTTTTGAAAAAATGTTGATTGTTGCTTTTAAGTATCTTTTTTTTCCCCTTCGTGGAGCACTGAGCTAATAATTTTCCAGTGATTAGT